TTTATCTCCTTCTCTATGGTAGCAGTTATGGCTCTCCAGCAGGAAAGCCAGTCTGGCATTTTCCGGAAAAGGTTTATGAGAATGAAGAGACACTACGCAAGGCAATATGAAAATTCWATATTTTCTTTATGCTTTTTTTATTTTCTTTTCTGCAAAATCCTTTTTTTTATATGCTTAATTTGCAGTGTGCAGAGTCTGCCTTAAAATCTGTTATTGGAGATCTCTCCAAAACATATTTTGTCGGAAATGCACCTTTTGCTCATATGGTTATACAATCAACAGGAGATGCACCTGATCTTCCTTCATTTAAGGTAGTTATTGATGAGTGCCTTTTCTTCTAACTGCTATCTGGCTTCTTATATAGTGCTTACCATATTAAACTTTGCTCTTTACTCTCAGAAGAATTTTATTTCTGTAAGAAACAAGGTTTTTGTGGATGGGCTCTATTTTCTGCGTGCTCGTATTCTCTACTTCTTTTTACCCCATACTATGGTTTTAAACTTGGTGGGGGCATAGTTGTCAAGGTGTTTAATCTMGGCAACTAGGAGAATGGCACTCCCCTGTCACCTTGATGCCTTGCAGCTATGCTACCATAGTCCTACAATTTTTAAAGCATCCTTCTGTATATTATTCATGGTGTATGTTGTATGAATGCATGTATGTGCATGTGTATGTATGTATAAATGGCCTGATATGTCTTGGTGGGGCAAAGTTGTCAAGATGTTTAGTACAGGAAACTTGGACACTAGGCACTCCTCGGTCATTGTCAAGATGTTCCAGGAAACTTGGACACAAGGCACTCCTCGGTCACCTTGAATTACCTACATGCCTTGACACCTTGGGCTGGGTTGAGATAATGAGATTAGGTCAAGGTTGGCTGGGATTAGGGGGACCAATATGGGTTCAGGCTACCCAAGGGCTAGGCCAGGGCCTAGACTGAGAAATAAAAAGCCTGAGGTTTTGGGCCCAAATCCAGCCTGAGGACCAAAACTCCACGCCCAACTTGTATACAATTTTGTGTTGGGTTGGTCTGGGCTTGAGTTGGGCCTACCCAAGTTCTACCCCTAATAGAGAGCAGATTAGGGGGACCAGCTGGAAGAAGAATTTATCCACTATTAGGGGTGAGCAGGGGCCGGGCTGGGCCAGCCTTAGCACCTATGCTAAGGGCTCTATGTAAAATGTCCCCATTACCAGTCACCTCCCTGCATACCCAGACTCTTTTAGACCTTGACTTACCGTAAACAAATTAGCTTATCTATGACTAGTGTAAACAAATATAAGGTAAAGGTTGTCTCCTAGTGTAGACAATTTATAACCAGAAGCTCTCAGTTTCTTCTCTAGATGTTCTTACACTAGCAAGTAGCAATTGCACCATTAAAAATGCACGTTAATACCAGTCTACCATCTGATAATAAAGCACRCTAATGCTCCTGTGTACCAAAATGCAAATAAATTACCTAAAAATTTATATTTTGCTGCAAAGCCTGCAAAACATTAATGCCTTCAAAACAAAGACAGCTTGATTGAAATGAGCTGTGCCCAGCTAAACTGTAAAAACTTTGTTGTTTTGACACGTTGTAACTTGTAAGAGAAACTTACCAGTAGAGGTTGTCTTTGTAGTGTGTATAYTTTTTAACATAATTCTTCATGGTACCTTGCTACCCCCCCGGGTTTTGTACTTTCCCCTTTTGACYGTCTTCTGTTTTGTCTGTGACATCCATTCTTTTACCAGCGATTCTTTTTCAAGTCACAAGTTATTGCAGCTAACAAGTTCAAGATTGGTAAGTGCGAGGATCATGTCTGGGTAACCAAGGATGAATTGATGGAGTATTTTCCGGAGCAGGCTGCCTTCCTTAACCAGATGATCATCAGCTAAGTGCCTAAGTCTATGTATAATCTCCATCATGAAACTGCCATTAGGGTTTTTCAGGCAATTATTACTCTTCAGTTTGCAAATTTTCCTCTGAAGTTCTTTCTTATATCCAGTGATTTGGCATGGATTTCATACTTGACAAAATTAACTTGTAAGAATGCCATGAGGACCCAGAAATCTGAATATTTATCAAGCATTCTTTTTGTGGTTCAGAATCTTCA